TTGAGATTATGGTTCTAAAATTGTTGAAATTGAAAGATTGAAGGTATGAAGAGTGGGTCAATTGGGACATTTTGTGTGTGTTTCTCTCTCTCTCTAGAGAGAGAGAAGATAGCAGACATATGTGTGTGTGTCTGGGTACGTACATATATATATATATATATATATATGTACATACATATATATAATATGTATGAAGCATACATATACACATGTACACACAAATATACATGCATATATAATATAGGTTTTTTCTAATGTGTGCCCATGCGCACATCATAAAAAACTAATAATGTGCTTCATTTTCAAGTTTCAAAAATATCAAATGATTTCAAGAATAGTTACTCTGTAATAAAGAGTGCATTTAACAACATTATTGTTAAGACCCAGGGTTTCATCCTAAAAGGTCAACCTGATAGGAGGAGTAGCCCAAAGTCTTGTATAGTGTTTTATTATTTTATAGATTTTGGGACAAATGCTTTAACAATTATCAAGAATAGTTTAAAAAACAGTAAGAATTAAATACTCATTTATTGCCTATTGTTGTCTGCCCTTAGGGCACACTTTAGAAAAAACACAACACACATACACCCACACACATGTTTGTCGACCTTATTAATAATATATTGTTATGTTGTGATTGATGCATCATCCCAAGGGCGATATAGATGCTGATATAGCAGTGGTATGTGCTATTTAATGAGCTTGCCTAATGGCTACTGTTAGAGCTACACTATGGTTTCTGCATTTTAGAAACTCAGCATACTTACCCACCAAAGATATTACATTATGGAAAAAGAACTTCTCTGATATTACGCAAAAGAAGATAAACGTGATGTCAAAGGGTTTACTGGAAAGAGCACCATTCGAGATAAGATATGTCTCAGTGAAGGAGAAAATGAGGTTGCTTATTTATTAGAAGAGCACAAAAAATATGCAGGGGTCTCCTCTAATGCAGTCATGGGAGGGATGAGCCTGGACACTATCGAAATCCATCATTCCACAATACAATTACAATTCACAATCTCAGTACTTCATATTTAAGAAGAGAAATAAACTTACACCCTTTTCATTCTTTTACAATAAAAAAATGAATCTGAACATACTTTGTCTAAGAGATGGTTTGGGTGACTAAAGCATCAATATTTTTCGTTTACTGTTTTCAAAACATACATATAAAATATGAAGCATGTTCATGGTTTCTAAATTTCGAAAATAGACATCAATTTTGACATGAGGCATCATAGTAAATATATGGACTGGTGATTGATAGGCTCAAACAGATATATGGCCCAATTTTTGTTCCACATCAATTTCCGGACGTAACAAATGGAAATATCCCTGCATTAGCAATAAACTAACACTATGATGTTTTCAAGCATGAAAGCGAAGAACTCAGAGCAATCCAACGACCGGACCAAAAGCACAAGCAATGGAATCAGGAAAAAACTTAGAAAGTAAGTGCTGTGGAATATCTACTGACTTAGAGCAGCGAGACGCGACAGAATTTGCGAGAGTGGAGAGAAACGGCAATGGGGGATTAAGCGAAACATCACCGTCAGCAACTGTTTCTCCGTCTGCAAGTTTTTTGCTCTTATTTCCATTGATTGAAAAGATGGATTTCAACAGAGAAAGAGCATTATTGTTGGGAGAACCGTGTTCTTGGTTGCTCCTCTCCTCTGCATCCGATCCCGTGTTAGTTGTCATTTCTCATCCGTTCGGTTACTCAGTTGAGATCTATCTAGGGACCGTGCAAAAATAAAGGCGGGTGGGAGTATATAATCCTTCATCGGAAAGGCGGGGGTTGTACCAGTTGCGTGCATTTCGGTTAAGCGGATCAATTCACAATTTCACTGTTCAACTAAAGGTTTTCCATACCCGATTGCTACAAATAAAAGGAAAAAGGTCGATTGCTCCCTCCTACTATGCGCGATCCGTCAATGGAGTCCTCGTACTTTGAAAACCTTCAATTGAACCCGCCAACAATGAAAATCCAGTCAATTAGGTCTACATAACCGGATGCTTCCCGGTTAGCCCGTTGCTCGCTCATGTGGCGCTGACGTGAACATAGTACATTGAGTGTTCCATTGCTAACATGGATTAAAAAAATTCATATCTCCATTCCCAAATAAATCGGCGTGGTTGTTACCGGCACCAAGGACCTTCTCAACGCGATCATCACTTTTCGCTCTTCAAGACCAAGTTCGCCAAAAGCTACGCTAGCCAGGAGGAACACGACTACAAATTCTCCGTCTTCAGTGTTAACTTGCGCCGCGCTCAGATCTGATAGATCCCTCCGCCGTCCACGGCGTCACAAAATTCTCGGATCTCACTCCCAAGGAGTTCTGCAGGACGTACCTCGGGATCAGCAAACGACGGTCCAACAAGCTTGAGCTCCCCTCGGATGCACAGAAGGCCGAAATTCTTCAAACCGGAAATCTCCCCGCCGATTTTGACTGGCATACTTACGGTGCCGTGACTGGCGTGAAGAATCAGGTATATGTGAACATTTTAAATCCATGTCAGCAATGGAACCCTCAATGTACTATGTCCACGTCAGTGCCACATGAGCGAGCAACGGGCTAACCGGGAAGCATCCGGTTATGTAGGCCTAATTGACGGGATTTTCATTGTTGGCGGGTTCAATTGAGGGTTTCCAAAGTACGGGGACTCCATTGACAGATCGCGCATAGTAGAAGGGCGCAATTGACAGCTTTCCCAAAAAAAAGGATGACACGGCGGCCTATAATCACAATATGAGAAAAACTTGATTGCTATACTTGTTCTTTTTTTTTTTGAGAAAAACATCAAATCAGCCCTCAAACTAACATTAATAGTGCAAATCATCTCCTAAATTGAACAAATGTGCAACTAAATCCTCCAACTCGACGATACAGTTCAAATAACCCCTTAAATTAAAAAAAGTTCTCACAACTCAACAATATAGTGCAAGCGACTTTCTTAACTGGTAATTTACCGATTAAAGCTGATGTATGTAATTTATTAAAGAAATTATGCCACATAAGGTTCATGTATCCACTTCATTTTTAAATTACTTAAAAATTATATTAATACAAACAACAAACTATACACATAAGTCTCCTACTCTTTGAAACTCTTGGTTCTATGGGTTGTAGTCATTTCCTCCATAAAGTGGTAGGGCGGTGGTCGCGGTGCTATATTTAGTTATTGAGTTCGTCAATGGGTTGTTCAGCCAATCGTGGAAACACGCGTGCGTCTCAAAAGATTGGGTGTTCAACCTCTTTTTATAAGTAGTTACTAAAAAAGTTTGAGTGAGATATATTAAGGTGGATAAATGAATCTTATGTGGTATAATTTTTTTAATAAATGGTGAGCTTTAGCCGGTAAATTACTGCTCTGGAAATTAATTTGCACTATATCACGGAGTTGGAGAATTTGGTTGCAGTTTTTTAATTAAGGGGTGATTTGCACTTTATCATCGAGTTGCAGGATTTGATTGCACGTTTTTTTAATTTAGGATCGATTTGTATTATTGGTGTTAGTTTTAGAATGAATTATAATTAAAGTTTATACTTGTTTATTTGGAAAGTTTATCATCAAATGAGGAAACCCCATGGGACAGTCATCAAACTTGCCAAGTTGATGATAATACATGAGGATTTGGTTGCACTTTTGCAATCAAAGAAGGTTTCCTCACTTTATCATCAAACTTATTTGGTAAATCAAAGATTTAGGACAGTCATACACTATTGGGGCAGTCATCAAACTTGCCAAAATTGATGATAATACATGAGGATTTGGTTGCACTTTATCATCAAGTTTACACTTCCTCATCTGGCAAATAAATCTTCGGCAAAACGATGTAAAACAATGTTAAAACAAAGCAAAACAATGTCACAACAGTGTACTTCACAGTAAAAATTCTTAATATGTGTGAAGTCAAAGTGTTAAGTTAATTAAGAACGGGAGGGAGTATACACACGCACACACATATACATATATACTTACATAGTTTTAAAACATGTAGGCGAATCTCCACAAAATACTAGATTGAATGAAGAAATAATTGATCAAGCAATTTACAACAGATTTAGGACAATCATACACTATTTTAAAAAAATTATTTTATATGTAGGAAAAATCGCATATATGGTCCCTCAGTTATCCACGAAATTAAAATCTCAGACCTTTATTTATGAGATTGTAAATGTCACCCCTCAATTGTCCAAATTGTTGTAATTGTGGTCCTTTAAGGGGTGAAATGTACTCTCCATCGCATTGTATATTTCACCCCTCAAAAGGACCACATTTACAACATTTTGGACAATCAAGTGGTGACATTTACAATCTCAGAAATACAGGTCTGAGATTTTAATTTCGTGGATAACTGAGGGACCATATATGCGATTTTCCCTTATATGTAATATTTTCAAAATTTTCTATTTTACATGTAATATTTTCATAAAAGTTTTATACTTTAACTACATGTATTCTCATTTATCATAAGGGTTTTTAAATAGTGTATGACTGTTCTAAATCTTTTGTAAATTACCCGATCAATTATTTCTTCATTCAATCTAGTATTTTGAGGAAATTCGCCTACATTTTTTAAAACTATGTAAGTGTGTGTGTGTGTGTGTGTTCGGTTCATATCATGACGTTCTGACCGGAACCCCCGTGCGGACAAGACCATCAGAGTGTCTTCCCGGTGGAATTTTTTGATGAAATGTTTTGAACATGTTCTCATCAAATCTAATTTATTCATACCAAATTTCAACTCAAAATTCAATCGGAAAGACAGATAAACAAATTCTTGAAATATATTGTGTTTTATATATGTAAAAAATGTGTTGTCAGAGAAGAATCATCGCTTGGAGTGACGACTCCTTCTCCAGTTCTCCTAAGTACAAAAATCGTCACTTCAAATGACGATTTTTCTTAAACATGATTAACTCGTCATTATTTTGAGGATTATTTTTAAACCAACGATATTTAAAAAATTATTTATTTAATTAGCATCATTTCGAAAAAAAAACTCAAATAAAACACCTAAAATAAAAGATTGTTTCGAACAAGAAGGAACGTTGTTACAGGGGCTGATAGAAACGAAACCCAGTCCACATCGCTGCAGCCCCGCGTCTCTATATTGTTTTACCCTAGGCCCAAGAGCACATCCACGCGCCGCCTCTGACCCGACAGCTCCGTCTACCCTCTCTTTTCCGGATGGCTGACTATGCCGCTGCGGCTGGAAAAAACGCCGAGAACATCAGCGAAGGAACAGTTAGGAAAGCGGTAAACGCTCTTCTAAAATGGAGGAAACTCCAGTCCAAAACCACTTCGCAAGTAGTTGGAGAAGAAGAAGAAGACATCGACGACGGCGGCTTCATCTACATCGTCGTGACTCTGATGAAAACCCCACCCAAAAACCTCTCGCCCGCGTCAGATCCTATCAGAGTCCCGCTCCCTCACCGCCTCATACCCTTCTCCAACATCTGCCTCATCGTCGGCGACAAGCCCACTCAGGTCCTCAATTCCCGGACCACGCTCTCCTCCGATGCCGCGCAGAAGAAGATTAAATCCCTAGGCGCCCCGATTACCAGAGTCCTCAAGCTCTCCAAGCTCAAATCCGATTACAAATCCTTCGACGCCAAGCGGAAACTGCTAGAATCGTACGACTTGTTTCTGGCGGATAAGAGGGTGGTGCATTTCCTTCCGGCCGTACTGGGGAAGCAATTTTACAGGAACAAGAGGAGAGTGCCGGTGCCGGTGGAGTTAAAGGGCAACCGGAACTGGAAGGAGGAAATCGACGTGGCTTGCCGCTCGTGTCTACTGTGTTTCGGGACGGGGACTTGCAGTGTGGTGAAGGTGGGGAGAGAAGCGATGGAGAGCGGAGAAATAGTGGAGAATGTGATGGCGGCCATAGATGGGATCGTTGAGGTGGTTCCAAAGAAGTGGGGTGGGATCAGGGCGCTGCACTTGAAGCTATTGGATTCTGTGGCGCTGCCCATTTACGATCCCATTCCTGAGTCCTGATTGACTTGTTCAAATGCATACCCATCAGGCCATCAATACATTGTCTCTCTTCTTCTTCTTCCTCTGCATATCCATTGATTGTGCATTAGGAATTATATTCTTGCTGCAATTTGTGTAAGCACATCAGTGTACTACCATCTTAAGCTGCATCAGATTTTCTTTGTAGCCTCATTCCAATGGAATAGTGATTTTGATTTCAATAGCTCACCTTGATGTCCATTTGCGTTTATTGATGTAGTAGTGATTCTTTATTATGATATCCTGTTTGCTCTCACACAGACAGAGACGCATACATAGTAATTGCATAAACAAGTTAAGTTATAACATGATTATATTAATTTGAAATTGTAACATTGACATTTATGCAGCTACTATTAGCATTGTTTCTTGTGTGAATCTTCATGGTTTCCAGGTACAATATACACTTTAAAAACAAGGAAAGAATTGCACGAGTAATCCCGGCTTCACGAATAATTCCAACTATTATCGATATTAATTTAAATATATATAATAATTCTGAAATAATACTACCTCTTTATTGATAATTAATTCAATTTTAATAATTAAAATTCACACATTCAGAAATTGCTTTAAAATATGTGCAAAGTTGCGAGGTCCAAATTAGAATATTGGGAAAATTGTCAACGCTAAATTAGAATTTGGTTAAAAGTTGATGTTGAATAAAAAATGTGAGAATTTAACTAAAAAATTATATTGGATGAATATATTGATGATGTTAGTAAGCACAAACTAATTAAATTGACATGGTGAATACAAAATTTCTGTTTAAAATTTTATAAAATTTTATAAAATTTTATAGTTTTCACAAAAACATAAAAGTTATAGAAAGTTAAAGTAAAAAGAGATTTTTTACATAGTCCCCACCACCTCTCTTCACATAGCTTCCTTTCAATTAGCTTTGATATAGTTTCTTATTTTCTTAAGAGTCACCTCGTTTGGTGGCTTTCCTTTTCTTTTACCCCGACCCCCTGAGACAAATTGGGATCAAACTCACTGTAGTGAGTATTGAACTCAATGATCTTCCATAAGGAAAAGTGAGTAGACGATCAGTTGAGTTGAACCGTTTCCTCGACGGCTTTTCCTAATCGTACTTAGGCCCATTAAAGAGTTTTAACCTGATTCTAATTTTGTTTATACTTTTTATTCATGTTTAACATTATGGATGTTTTACTTGGATTGAAATTTGTCGGTCTAATCTGAACTGATATGGTCTGGTCTGGTAAATGTCCGATATATGTGTACTTTATAACTATGGAAATCTGGTCTGGTCTGTTTAAGTTTGGTCTGGTCTTATATGGTCTGTTTAAGTATGGTTTGGTTTGATTTGGGACTGAAAACAGTTCAAGTAAAAACATCATATGTCGGGAAAATTCATCTATACAACTTGACACATAATATTATTCTAAAAGTAAATAATCTCATCCATACTATTATACGAAGTATGCTGGAAAAAATGTATTAAAATTGTATTAAATGGTCAATTTGGGACAATATTTTGAGTGAGATCCACTTTCGATTTGGGCCGGGTCAAAGTGGTTTCGTATTGTCCTTGTTAAAGCCTACAATTCGATATGTGGTACACTCAAAACGTATAACGGGTGAATGAGAAATTGATTCTCGAAGTTCACCCGTTGACATGGAAAAACTGGGAAAATGATGGGTTTCTAGTGAGACTTATCTCACACCGGAAAACCAAAGGGATTTTCACCCCCTTATAAAGGGAACGTCCTTTGGTGGAGTTAAGATTCTTAGGTGGAAAGGCTCTCTTCGCACACAGGCGGGGTGCCAATCAAATTCTGAAATCGGAGAAGAAAAACTACGAATTGCGCGCGCGGGTGACACGCGGACACGAATGTCGTCCAAAAGTCTGTATTTCAAAGATACGATTTAATATTTGCTTCTTCCCGTAAGTGTCTCAGTTCTCTAGAATTGCATCGGAACTCTTATGTTCTGTGCACATCAGAACTAGAAGACGTGGACGATTATGCAGCGATTAATGGACAAATCGTGGACGATTCAAATCCCAACGGTCTGGTCATTGATGTCCAACGTTCAAGACCATTAACTCTCTATTAACACACAACAAATCCTTACTACAAATAGCTGGCATGTGCTTTGCAACAAAAACACGTTCATACACATCCTCACGTACTCTTGAGAGCTAAAACCACCCTGGTGATGAACACTAGAAGACAATAGTAAGGGTTTTGAGGTATTTACGAAAACCCCAAAACCTTGGACCGCACTATGCCAGATATCCAGCTGTACTTGAAGGATATAGCGACGCTAGTTGGATATTTGACATTAAGAACTCAAAGTTCACAAGTGGGTATATTTTCACTTTGGGATGTGCAGTCGTGTCATGGAAATCCTCAAAACAAACGGTAATAGCTAGATCAATGATGGAATATGAGCTAATAGCCTTGTATAAGTGCACTGAAGAGGTTGAATGTCTACGCCAAGTTGGGAAAAGCATGTACCTTAAATATGCATGCATTGTGATTGTCAAGCGGCAATTGGAAGGGTACAGAGCAACGTGTACAATGGTAAGTCTAGTCATGTTCGTCATAGACAATACACCATTAAACAACTCCTCCCACGGGTGCTATCACGGTTGACTATGTGAAGTCAAAGGATAAAATAGCGGATCCGCTAACCAAGACACATGATAGAGAATTGTTGGAGAAGTTGTCACAAGAAATGGGACTAAAGCTCGTGAATTGAAAAAATCTATAGTGGAAACCCAACCTAGTTGATCCTAGGTTCAAAAGGGACAACTAAATTATATAGCGAAGGATGGTCACTGTGCGGGTCGTGAACTCCTACTCACTCCTCGTTGAAACAGTGACTCCCGCACGAGGTTAGCAAAAATGTTTGCTTTAATGATTCTGAAATGTTGATCTACTCGATAACATTGGAAGAGTATGCGGGATATATACTCGTGAAAGAATCACCTATGTAAAAGAGAAGAGGGTCGCTTCAAAGGAGAACTGTATAGGCTCAGTTCTTTAGAAACTCTTTCAGAACCAGGACAGTGACCCGTGGCTAAAACGGGCACACCCATGAGAACGGAACAAAGTTGGAAGGTTTCTGTGTAAAGATAAGTCAATGTTTACACGATGGCAATATAGTTCAAGGACATCGAGTCTACTAAATAGCCAATAAATAAAAATGTCTCTACAGTGGAAGGTTCAAAGGATAAAACCTACCTCTCTGTATGCAGGGATCGTCTGGTGAACACAACACGGTTGAGGCATGGAAGCATTCTGACTTCCTTTGCCAAAACTACGTGTTGAACGACCTGCATGATGCTCTTTTTGATGTTTATAGCAAGTTAGCTACGACTAAGAAGCTATTGAATGCTTTGGACCACATATACAAAAGCGAGGATGTCGGCACAAAGAAATTTGTTGTTGGTTGATTTATTGACATTAAAATGGTGGATTCAAAGACGGTCTTGAATCAAGTTGAGGAGATGCAAATGGTTTTCAATGAAATTCGAGATGAAAGAATGACAGTTGGTGAGTCTTTCCAAGTGGCGTCAATTATCCGATTATTGCCGCCGGTTTGGAAGGATTTCAAGAACTGTCTTAAGCATAAACGTAAGGAAATGAACTTGGAGTAATTGATCCTCTATCTTCGGATTGAAGACGATAATCGGAAGAACGATGTGAAACTCCCAATCGTTAGCGGCGCCAAGGCAAATGTGGTGAAGCATGCTAAGGCTCCAAGAACAAGAATAATGAGAAGAGCAAGCTCGGTCCCAAGGGAGGCATTTCCAAACCAAAAATTAATGGAAAATGGTTCAATTGCAACAAAAATGGACACAAGTCCGCGGATTGCAAGACACCCAAGAAGAAAGACAATCAAGTCAACTTGGTGCAAGGTGGGCAAAAGGATGAAGACATAATCCTTGCGGCCGTGGTGATCGAGGTCAACCTCGTTGGATCCAATTCCAAGGAGTGGTTCGTGGACACCGAAGCTACCCGACACATTTGCTCTAATCAGGGGCTATTCATGACCTTTGAACTATCAAATGGTGAAAAGACGTGGATGAGAAACTCAGCCCATTCCGTTGTGGAAGGTGTGGGCAAAGTGGTCCTGAAGATGACTTCGGGAAAGGATCCGACTCTCAACCAAGTGTTGTTCGTCCCGGAGATACGCAAAACCCGTTTTCCGGTTCGTTGTTGAACAAACATGGCTTTCACATGGTGTTTGAGTCGAATAAATTAGTTTTGTCTAAATCGGGAATGTATGTGGGCAAAGGGTATGCAGTTGACGGGTTGCTTAAGCTAAATGTAATGACTAATAATAATAATAATAATAATAATAATAATAATAATAATAATAAATTCTCTTCTGCTTATTTGTTTGAATCTTCCAATGTATGGCATGGTAGACTAAGACATGTTAATTTTGAATCTATACGTAGATTAATTAACATGGAACACATTCCTAAATTCAAAATTGATGTGAAGCACAAATGTGAAATTTGTGTAGAAGCAAAAGTAACGAAAACACCTTTCAAATCAGTTGAAAGAAAAACGGAACCACTTGAATGAATTCATAGTGACGTTTGTGATTTTAAATCAATACAACACGTGTCGGTAATAAATATTTTATTACTTTTATGGATGATATCACTTGCTACAACTATGTTTATTTATTAAAAAATAAACACGAAGCATTCAATAAATTTATTCTTTATAAGAATGAAGTGGAATACCAACTTAATGGACAGATTAAAACAGTTCGAAACGATTATTCAAGATTATTCTCAAATTTCAATAATCACATATAATTCAACCATGTTTTCTAATTTGAAATGATTCAAATATCTCCTTGGAAATAACAAAAAAAATCATAAAAAACTAAATAAAAAAGGTCATGGTTGAGAGGATCAATAAACTTTGATTTTAATCATGTGGCAATGACATGACATGAGAAAATCACAACAAACTGAATAATTGATGAACATCGATGGAGATGTTCTCATAACTGAATACCGCTAATACAATATTTGTACACATTTTTTTCCCAGGAAGCGTCTGGGGGAGGGGGCTTGGAGTAATCAAGACTGAAATTCACTCAATTGAGTTTCGAACACAAGACCTCCCGTAAGGGAGACTGAGTCGGCGACCAGTTGGGCTGGACCGCTTCCTACAGCCCAGCTGTTACAATGTTTGTATGCATATGCAACTGTTACACGTAATCAATAATAAGGATAAATATTAACTATTTATCTTCCAATACGCCCTGTAAGAGAGGGGATATTCCTGGCTTGGAATGAAAAGCTTGAAACGGTGCCCTGTCAAGAGGTTTTGTTAAAATGTCAGCAATTTGAAATTTTTAGAAATATGTTTGAC